CATATCAATCTTGGAAGAATAGTACTGATTTGTCTAGTCATATGCAAAAAGAATCTGAGTGATTACTAGGAAGGGGATGCTGTGAAGTTGTCAAGCCACCTTTCCCTTTTAAGGACCCAGGAACAGTAGGTTATGTCAGTCCAGGAGCTGAGAAATCAGGGGAAGCGTTCCCAGTGGAAATACAGGCCACCCATAAATTCTGAAGATTTTCAGAGTAACAAAAAGAAATATTGCTTTGTTTGTGTTTTGGGACACACTATGGCTTTGCTAGAAATGAAATTGGCACAGTAGCAAAATACAGATATTGTAGGAACATTCAGTTTTGGAAGTGATTCTTGAGCAGTGTAGAGCGATGTTTCTCAACTTCAGCACATTTAAGATGTTTGGACTTCAATTCCCAGAATTCCCCAGCCAACTTCTGGGAGTTGAAGTGCATAGATCTAAAGTGCTGAGGTTGAGAAACACTGGTGTAGAGTCCCTGTGCAGAAGGTCTCCTTTGTCTTCACTGAGCTGCTTGGATTGCTTTGTTTTGTTTTTTGAGAGGGGATGTTGACTATTTGCCTGAGATAAAGATGTTTAATTTTATTGTGCAGATTTTGGCATTCTTCTAAGCATTCTGATATCTACTTCTTGTTTCTGAGTGGGTTTATTTTGGCTACAACCCTTTGTCATTCATCACCAGTTTACAGAAGAACTGGTATAATGCTATTATGTGTTTACTTCCAGTTGTGTGTCAGGACTTGGACTTGCCTGCAAAGTAGATTGTGATTGCTCTTGACTATAATTCTTCTTAAGTGTGTTCAGCTCAACAGATATCCAGTTTTCCCTCTATTATTATGATCCAAAGGGATTCCATTTAGGTTTAACAGTCAGAGACGTTATAATTTCAAATGATGATTGGAAGAAGTCAACTGAATTCAGTTAACAAAAAAAAAAAAATGCAGATGCAGCTTACTAATATGTTCACCATTTCTTAAGGGCAAACATTGATGGAAAGTTATCAAAACTTATATTAGCTCAATAACAGTTTAAATTCTTTATTTATATTGATATATGTTGATACATCATTCCATCCAAAACAATGAAATAAGAAATGTATTGCGTATGGAGACCAATTCACTAATAACATTGAATGAGGAAAGGAAAATCTCTTATTTGCTGCTTTTTGCAATTTTGCATTTTGTATAAGCATTCTTTAAATTGTTCTATTAAGAAATGTTTGCTGTTCAAAAAGAATAGCATTGTCCTGTGCAACTGGGGACTTTGGTAGATGTTTGGTTATCATTGAATAATCTGCCCTAAGTTTGTCATTCTTAATCCATTAAAAGGCAGGCCTGCTTGTAAATCCACAGGTATAGATAAGAAGTCACTGTTTGACTGAGTCTGAACCTTTTTGAGATGAAAAATGTCAGTGGCAGAAAGGGAGACTGAATTATTTTTAAAAGGGTTTTCAAAGATTCTCATGATTCCTCTGATATCAGTTAAATTTGACATGTCCATAGACATGCTTCCTTTTTAATGGTTAAAAACAGTCAAAACTGCTGTTTCCATGTTTATCTAAAACAAAAGCAAAAACATACTGTATGTGTTAATGTACATATATTTCTCCATAGACTTAACTGAGAAAGGGATAGATACTTTTCAAAAATTACCCGTCAGCCGCCAGTGAAAAAATATGGTCCTTTTTGCTATTTTGCAAGGGCACTGGCTTTAGGGGAGAAGAAAGAATACCATTTCAATGATGGGTTGGTAGGGATGGAAGACAGTCATTTAGTCTGAATTTTTATAGAAGCCCAATTCGTACCTCCTGAACTGGTTAGAAGTTGTGAGCTGATTTTCAGAATGTTGGAGGGCGGGGTTTGCAAGTAAAAACATGCACAGAATAATGGTTTATTAAAAATCATTGCATACAGAAATGCATGTACCAATTACAGAAGTGTTTACCAAAATTTATACATAAGGAGAAGCTCACACAAGAATACATACAAAAGCTATCTTTCTTTTTGTCAGATTTGTAGACTGATGCAAAAATGAAATGAAACGTAGCATCAGGAAAGCTGTAGAGAACAAAATGGACAGATTTGTCCATCCTATAACTAGGCCCCAGTTTCCTGGCCTCTATCCAATTATCAGTAACTGATTAATTGAGAGCAATATAGCAAAGTATGACCCAAATTAGAAGGAAGGAAAGTCCTGCTGTGCCGAACTGACAGGCAATGAAAGTACCAATAGAATGTCGAAAGATGAAAAGTGTGTCATTCTGCAGTTACGTAAGGAACTGTGGAAACTGGTAAATATGTTAGAGCCTTATGCAGCAGGAAAACTCCAAACAAACAATCCAAGTCTAGATTCGTAAGGTTGGATCTGGTAGATATATCAGAAACAGAAGGCTAAGATAATCTAGGTCTTCTCTTGTGTAAAGAATAGCAGAAACTTGGCTAGATTTAACCCAAACATTTCTCAAAGGCATTCTTTCATACTTGGAAGAGAATGTTGTCTTTTCATTATGGTCAATGAAACTTCTCTGTGGAGAAGCCCGCAGATCATTTTGCGGGCTTCTGCACATCTGGGAAGATGAAGATTCTCTTACGGGTTAATTCCTAACTCAAAGAAAGACCCCAAGTCCCTGTCCTCTAACTCAAGGGATTTCTCTTCCCTTCACAGGACCAATACCACCTTCTGCCCTAGCTAACAGCAAAGTATAACCCCCCCCCCACAAAATATATAAAAAGCATGGGGGGGGGGGAATTAAAATACATATCTATAAATGTATCTAAAATACATATCTATACTGTGTGCTGGCACTATGCCCCTTATTCACATTTTCCTTAATACCAAGACTTAGCATTCCTACTTGGATATATGAATCTTATTTGGTGTTATGGAGAGAGGGAATCCTAGCTGGCACAGCAAAATAGTGCAGAATGTTTGAAGTAGGTTGGGAAATCATTTCTTTCTCTCTCCTTCTCTCTTTCTGAGGTTTTATTTGCTTCTGAAAAATATACAGTATATATATAATTTTTAGCTTTGAAAAATTAGTGAGATGATATATTTGTTTTTATTTGTCACAGTGCGCTGGAGTGGTACTTCCTTAGTGGCACTATGTAGAATTAGTTAAAGTTTATTACTGTCATAGACCAGCATGATATAATGAATAAACTTAATTAATCAAGTTAAAATTAATTAATTAATTAATTAATTAATTAATTAAAAGTTAATACATACATATACAGTATAAAGTATAAAAGACAAAAATATTTTACAGTAGAGAGACAAATGTTAATAGATCAAACTTCTCTATGGCCTGGGAGGAGGGCATGGTGTACTTGGGGCTTGGGGAACTTAACAGTCTCCAAACAGCTATGGCTATCGCACACAACTTAGCTCCCTCTCCAGAGTTTGCTGGTCAGAAAGGTTCAACGGTTTCCCCATCCAACCTGCTAGAACAGTTTTGTGGCAGGGCCTATGAGGTCTGAATGCCAGCCTAAGTGTAAAAGGCAGCACTGTAAGACTCCAGGCCTGAACTGGGGCATTCTTGTATCTCCCAGAAAACCCAAAGGCAAGGTCCTAAACCTTGGCAGCAAGAAGGCTCTCTAGTAGGTCAAACGCAAGATGTCAGGTACTGTAGCTAGTTGGCTGGAGTGAAAGGTTGGGGATAAAACTCAATTATTGTCAAGATCAGAGTCCAGAGCTTTTTTTTTTTTTTTTTAGTTCCAAATCGACTCCCTCCTTTCCCAGAGAAACTAGATATTGGAATTATAGACCATGCCTTCTGAGACCTAATTCAGTTTCTTTTTTCCCAAACTGATTAATAGCTATCCAGTAGCATTAAGGAAAGGAATTAAAATAATAGCTAGAGCCATCTGCCTGACAGGATCCAACATTTTTCAGAAGACATTTTAATGGCACAGTGAAGCATGAGCAGGTATCATTTACTGTATGAATTCTTTATCTAATTTTTGCAATCATTGAGAAACAAGTTACATACTTGCTGAGAGTCAGTTTGGTGTTTAGTTAAAGGCACCAGGCTAGAAGCCAGAAGACTGTGAGTTTGTCCTGCCCGAGGCACAAAAGCCAACAGGGTGATTTGGGCCAGTCACTCTCTCAGCCCTAAGAAGAAGGCTGTGTCAAACCATTCCCAAAAATGTTGCCAAGAAAACTGCTTGGACTTATCTAATTCAAAGTTACCCCCCCCCCCGGCAAAAAAAGGGGAAAAAAACCCCACCAACTTTTTAGTACTAGCTTTTAATATTTGATTGTACAGAAATAGAAGTGAATACTTATAGCTGTTTGGATGGGTTTCAGAGTCATGTTAGTGACAGATTGCTGTAAGAATGTTAGCACCTTTATTTATATACCTTTCTCTCATGGTTTCAGTCAGTACCTTTATGACAAGGTTTGCCAGATATTGTGTATTTTTAATTTACAAATTATTACAAAAATTGCAATAAGTATTTTAAAAAATACAAGGAATATGGTACACTTGATAAACAAATTTACATAGTGAGAATAACTCTAAGGAGGGAAAGTATTTGTATTTTCTGAAGAACTCAAGATCATTAATTTTCCAGGCAAGAATACACAATGATAATCCAAGCCCCACCCCATTTGTATGTGGGTCAATGTCACACACTTCGGAACACGTATGTGACATTGACCCACATACAGATGGGGTGGGGCTTGGATCATGATGCTGTGACTGCCATCTTGCCTGTTTTGATCCACTCCCCATGGCCACCACAGAGAAGTGTTTTTCAACCTTGGCAACTTTGAGACGTGTGGACTTCATCTCCCAGAATTCCCCAGCCAGCATGGGTTTATAAAGGTTATAAAGTCCACACGCCTCAGAGTTCCCAAGGTTGAGAAACACTGCCACAGAGTATAAGTAATTTTAATGAAACAAAATATTGCCTAAATGTTGGCTCACTAGGAAAGGTAACAGTGGAGAGATTCCTCTAGGATAAGGTCTAATGTCATAAACTATTTTCTTTGTTTCTCAGGGGAATTGGAGATGTTCCAGAGGGATGGGGAACGCAAGATCCAGAGTCGACAGCAACTTCCGGTTGGAACAACATGGGGGCCCTTTGCTGGGAAAATGGACTTGAATAACAACACACTGGTACGTTAAGAAGTACCAAAAGCTGGAGCTTTGTTTGCTGTTCTTTAAGAACTTTCGTTATTAATATAAATAACTAACTGCATTCTGCCCACTCTCTCTTAGTCTTTAGAAAATCAGTAAAGGCAATTTTCGTTTGCTAGGCTTTTAGTTGTTAGCTGATTTTAGCAATTTTAATTGCTGTTCATTTCAGTCGGTGTTTTTGATGTCTTATACACGTCTCTTGTTTTTAAACATTGTTAGCTTCCTTGAGTGTTTGCAGTTATTAATCAAACATATAAGTCCTCCTTTCTATAAATTGCCAGTATGCTTACGATACTCAGCCCTCCTTTCTGTAGACATCTGAATTGTTATTTGGAATCTGTGGGGACAAAAAGAGGGTAATGACTGAAGGTAAACTTAAACTAAAAACTGAAACTAGGTGAGGCTGTATTTACACTTGAAATGCAAGTTCATAGCTTGAGAGTCCTTGTGGTTCCAGGTGTGTTCCTAGATGCTTAAGCATTGGACGCTTAGTCTCCATAACTTCTGCTGGAGCTTTGTCTGCTTTTGTTCCTGATAGGATCATACCGTCATTCCTCCATTGCATTGGATTCTACTGCTGGAATCTTGATTTGGGCAAAGTTATAGGATCGTACGACTGTCTTTATTATAACAATTTGCTTTTAGTTTATTACACAATATAATGTTATACAATATGGCACAACGTGATATGTTTTTAAAATATTTTGTTGCATGATATTTACTAACAAACATATATATTTATTTAAATGATACAAAGCAAGGAATTCTAACACATTTATTTTCAGTTAGCCAAGAGGTAAATGTATAGACTATGCTATAATCATAAAAATACATTTAACTGTGCAATGTTGTAAATAAAGTATGCTTCATTACAAATGCTAGCACAATCTGGTAATGGGTAAAGTAGAGAATATTGTTATTGTCTTTCAAAATTATAAATCTAATATTACAAGCCTGAGTTAAAGTTCTCTGTTATTTTGAAATCTCATGGAAAACTCAATTGTTTAGGCACGTGCCTTTTCAAAGGGTGGACATGCTATGAAATTAAGAACATTGTGTGCATCATACAGCTTTTATTTCTCCCAATCCCATACGCCACAGTGTAGCACAATATGCCCTTTACTAATTGGCTATTTTTACATTTCTGAGATTTACTGCAATGGTTCTGTGCGGGAGGTGGGAGAGGGTGCCAAGTGAAGAGTCCAGCTGAGCAGATTTCCGTGATGGTTGTCATTACTTGCCTTCCTCTTTCTCCTGTCATTGAAGTTTGTTAATAAAATGTTTCTTAGTACACATTTGGTCATTAGGAATAGTTTAACTTCATCATGAATGTAGTATACCATTCCTCATCGGAATGCTGTGACTTGCCTTAGCTGATAATAGAACTAAGCCCCTGACAGTAGCAACCATTTTCACACAATATTTAGCAACTCGGGCTCCTTCTCCAGTCAATCTCCTGCTCTGAAGAATGTCTCTGTATCAGCCATGCATGAGAGGCAACTTTCTACATAGAGCAATGGCAGGGAAACCATAACAGTAGTTTAGCCATTCCATACCTTCCGCCCCTGTCAAGGCACAAGTATGCTGTCAGGAAGTGTGCAAAGTGGTTAAAAATAGGTGTAACTTCCAGGGAGGTGTTTGTCTAAATATTTAAAATCACAGTTTTTGTCTGTTCGAGCATGCTTTCAAAATATAAATATCTAGAAATATATGTGTTAAATGGAATGAAGAGTATTAGTCCCAGAATTGTACAATGAGATTGACAGCTGTTTAGCAGTTCACCAAGTGGGCAGATATGATAGTCATAATATCCCTTTTGGTGAAAGAAGTACTGTAATTGGAAAAAAAAAAGGAATATATTGGTCTGCAATTCTCCAATCTTAGCAGTAAGCATTTAATGATTCATAGGGATTTGGTACTTCTTAAAATTTACTATCTTTCATTGATGCCTTTGATACTGAACAAGGTGGTTGCAATTTAGCATGTTTTCATTGTACAGAAATCATTTTTCTCCTTTATTCAGTCTTTAATAAAATTTAAACACTGTACCTCTGTAAATTGGTTTATATTCTAAGAAGTATTACATGCTTGACTTTAAATGTGTGGTGGTTGGCTCTAGGGAGCCAACAGATTAATTAATTCAGTGCCGTAATTAATTGAGTCAGTGTGCCAGATGTCAAACACTCTTTAGATCTTTCAAGTTTCTATCTTGAATTATGTTAACAATATACATCTCAAAACACTGAGAGGTTGGTTACGTTGAATAAACTGATTGAAGTGTCATTTGTCGCTGCAACAACAGTGAAAGACTCTTAGTCAAATTCAGCTAGGATGGATGAAGAATTATGAAGGCAGTTAGCCAAAGGACAGGACTCCATTAACCTAAACAGAATATGCTAACAGGAGGTCATGAAGTAGAAGCTCTAGCAGATGAACCAAGAAGGAGGCATGCCAAATGTTGCTGATTCATAAACTAGGCATGAGCTACACTTACATAATAACAGTGCTGGCACCAAAGTGTCAAAGAGTTGACATCATTGCTTTGATTGCTTGTCATAAAAACCTCTAAAATCCTTTATTCTTCCACAAAATTATTACTCCGATTCTGCATAATAGAAGGGTTTTTTCTCTTGGCTCTTCATAATGCTTTATTTTTAGCCAACTTTTTTTTTCCTAAATAGGGTTTATGAACATTTTTAGCCAACTGTACTAGAACTGGAATGTACATTATGGTTGCTGAAGATAATAGAGTCACTATTTTTAGAGGCTCAAACAACATGTAGACTGGAGTGACTTTGTGGTTGGAGTGCGGAACAAGGAGTGAGGAAAATTGGATTTCTATCCTGCTTATCATTGAACTTGGGCCAGCGGGCACTGTTTCTTAGGCTAATCTACCTTGCAGAATTGTTGTGCAGATAAGATAATAATGGGGGACAGGAGGAGAAGAGAAAATTGTATGGTGCCCTAAGTGTTTTACAAATTTTTTCCTTGAATACAATAGGGCTTAAAAGGCGATATTAAAGGGCATTCCTCCATTCCTGAATTGCAGAGACTGCAGGATAGCATGAAGTCATTTCTATTTTGGAAGGTTTTTCTGTCAAGGCAGTTTGAAAGGTTTACATTTAGGGTTACATTACATTTCCTATGATGTAATAAATTATGGCTATCTTCAGTACTTCTGAAAAATTAAGCACCTAAAATGAATAATAAAAGAATGACACTTATTTTCATTGATTTTTATTTTGGTCTTTGAAAAGCATAAGGTAAGAACTGATACTGGGATTTGAGTATAAAAACACATGGTTTTTAGTTTCCTACTTTGAATTCATATGCATAGGTGGTAGCACTATGTACCTGATGTTCACAGTGCCTTCAATCTGAGGCTCCCATTGACAAATACGGAAATTTACTGAAGATGTTCAAGCACCTCATGATATAACTGGGGAAAGACAAAGGGCCGACACCAGTTACTGATAGAAATTGCCACTGAGTTTGTCATGGAACACCTCTTTAGCTGTAGTGGTAAGTAGAGGTACCAAGAGTTTCATTTAGTTCACTGCTTGAAGCAGCTACTAAATTTGTACTTCTTGGGTTAATACGTGAACTTGGAAAGCAACTGTCCATTGATACCTTCCTCAATGCAGTTCTCCAAGCCAAAATGCATATTAAAATGTGCAGATTTGAGAAAAGTGCAAGAAAATGCATACGAAGTAAGAATTAAGAGAAAGTTGCCCTCAAATGCCTACACATTTTGTGACTTTTTTTTTTTTTTTTTTAAGTATAACTGGTGTGGAAGGTAGTGGATTGAACTAATAAGAAATGAAAGACAGAGAAATTGTCAGAACTACTTATCTCTAACAATATCTCCAGTATTGCCTTTTGGTAGGACAGACTTAGGGATAAAATGTTTTCTAAGGGAAACTAAACATTGTGAAACTATCCACAATGACACCAACATGATAAAATGTACAGTACATCATGATGTCATAACTTGAGCATCAACCTTTCATACTTCAGGACACTGCAAGCCAGTATATAAGGGACAGAATTTACATAGTGAGACTGTATATGTTCTGTCACTTGCCCCCATTGTTCCCTTTCTTCAGAAGCCAATAGGAAATAGAGTATTCCATTATTTTTCATTTTGGAAAATCAACAGGAATAATGTGCCCCCTCATCATTCTAATCATTGTTTTCTAACACAATTGTTTGTCATTGTCCTACCTGAACTGTTACGTGAAAACTCTACGAATTACTTCAAAATATATTATCTTATTTGAATACCAATTTTGGTAGCAAATTCAAATATGAGCTTCCAATGACAAAATAGATAATAATACTCTTGACTGCAGTATGGTAGACTGTAATTCATTTTCAGTAAATTAGTTAGGTCCCTACTACATACCTTCTATAGAATTAAACTCCACCCATTAGCTATAGTGGCAAGATAATTACAGAAGATCACTAAGTAGAAAAAAGAGTCACCAGCGTCAGTGCGAAAAAACTTCTATGCCTGTTCTTTGGTTCAATGCAGGTTGAGCCAATTGATAACCAATGAGACACAAAATAGGATCTTCTAGAGCAGCCTTTCTCAACCTTTTTACTCTACAGAATTCTTGAAATAATTCTCAGGTCTCAGGGAAGCCCTGCATAAAAATGGTTACATCTACAGCTTACAGTTCATTATTGTGATCAGTAAGCTGAGTCATGGTGCATAAAAATTTCCACCACTGTTGGTCATTCTAGAAGAACACTGCAGCAAACACAACAAAGAACTAATATATTTACCATGACATGAGTTTTTGTGAATGAAAGTTCATGTCATCTTGAATTGAAGATATCAGAAGTAACTGAAGCCAGACCTGATTGCAAAATTGTATTCTTAGACTTTCTAGCCTAGATTTTTTTACCACTCAGAAAAAAAGGATGAGGTGGACTGGGGTTTAATGTGGAAGGGCCAGTTTTTATTTTTGCTATGA